GATTAGTGGGGATGCGGAGTTCATCTACCACCTGTCCTCAGATGCCCCCGTTTGTGTCGGGCTTAGTGTTACTCCTCAGGGAAGCAGGCTGGGATGATGCATTTCCTCAGCCACGGCAACTGCTGTCTTAGCGCAAAGCATTTTGGGGCGTCTTGGTCCTGACTGGGCAAAAGACCTGCTCCTGGCAGAAATTAAAGTGGCTCAACACGGATCAGACCAGCTGTCTTCACTTGGGGCCTCTTCTTGGGGCTGTGGCCTTCTCTGCCTTCCCCGGTGGACGTCCGTCTCCCCCACCATCACTGGCCGTGTCTCTGCCTTCCCAGGTGGACGTCCGTCCCCCCCACCATCACTGGCGGTGTCTCTGCCTTCCCAGGTGGACGTCCGTCCCCCCCACCATCACTGGCGGTGTCTCTGCCTTCCCTGGTGGACATCCGTCCCCCCCACCATCACTGGCGGTGTCTCTGCCCTCCCAGGTGGCCGTCTTTCTTCCCTCACCCCTCCCATACCCTCTTCCTTGGATATGGGAGGGGTTGAACCTGGAACCTTCTACATAGGCAAGTGGACAATGGCTCCTCGCCTACCTTTCGTTAAAAGGTGCACCCTTAAAGTCTATGCACATGGCTTCTAGGTAGCAAATAGCACTGACCTTGTACTACGCAGCTTGATCTTGTCCTTTTTCTTCCCATCAGGCTTCATGCATGCTGAAGGGAAGGAATACATACATACATACATACATACATACAGGAAACTTTATGACGTAAGCAAAGTGAGACATTTATCAGTTCTTTTTGGGGGTGGGGATAAAGCTGACAAAGATGTTTTGCAAAAAAAGAAAAAGCTAAATGTTCTTGCTCAAATTATGAAACTGAAAATTTGGAATTTAGGAGTGCCTTAGGCTTATTGGTAAATAACATTTCATATTCTCGGATACCAACTGTCAAAGGCCAAAATAATTAATATTTCAATTAAATATCAAATACTTACACATATCACTTGATGGCAAATACATGTCACGTTGTGACTATTTACTTGTTTATTATATTCATTTAATATATTTTATATACTCTTATACTATCCAAGGCACCCAGGATGCTCTTGGAATTTTCTCCCTCCTCTCCATTTTATTTTCACAACAACCCTGTGAGGTAGGCCAGGCTGAGAGTCAGTGACTGGTCCAAAATCACCCATTAAACTTCATGGCCGAGTTTAATTCATGACTGACTGGGGACTAGAACCCAGATTCCACAAGTCCCAGTCCAGCACTCTAACTTCTATGCCAAACTGGCACCAAAAGGATATTCAGCCTCCACACTGGCAGGAAAGACTCTGAGAGGCATTCTGGGAAGAAGTCCTTGCAGTCTGAAAAGGAGATACGGACAGAGGTGGCCTGTGTGAACAGGGGCTGCTGTGTGTCTGTTGCGCCATAGGTGCCGCTCCGTCGCTTGTCTCAGCTCGACTCCAGGGCTGGGGCAAAGGAGCAGCTTTTCGACTCTCCCGTAAGGAAATTGCTAAATGCGAACCATGGGTTTGGGAACATGTGCCTTCCACATTTCCTAATTAAATTATGATTTGATGACCACGCACTTCTACGGCTCGCAGGCCTGTTACGACCGTATCACTGCTGCGTCTGCTGCATGTTAATTGATGTCCACATTTTGCATTCTGACCTTTTGCTTCAGAGGGTGAAGGCGGGTGGGAAGCCCTGCATTGCTATATTCATCCTGTGGAAACAAAAGGGATACTTGTGATTTAAAGGCACGTGCTCCCCAGGCCTAAAATGTGCATATTGCCCAGCCGCACTAGAGCAACCGCATCCTTACGATGCAGCGGTTAAGGAACAGTCGCACACTTGCTCATTTATCGGTCTCCCAACCCAGCTATACAGCTGAAGCCGTGGGAGAGATGTAGGGACAAGCAGAGTTGTGGATGGAAACGCTCGGCCCTTTTCGCACTGGGTAGTGCGAGGTGCGAGGGCTTCGGGTGCCGCAGAGATGAGCGAGTCCAGTGCACAGCTGCATCTGGGCTTTTTTCTCCTTGCACCTTCGCAGGTTCTCACCTCATCTTCCCCATTCCTTACGCAACGTGGCCAGCCACGTGCAAAGCTGCCTCGGCCGTCTCAGATCTCTTGCTGGATGGGAGCAGCACTGAGCGACGCTCAAAGGAACTTGATGACTCCCTGCAGACATCAGTTGCGTAGTCCAGTGGCTGCAGGATATGAAAGCAATAAAGGCCTCGAGATGCACCTAGACCATAATTATTTTTGTCTTGCAAAACATTTGAAATGAGGAATTTTGCAAATCAGAGTATTGTGTGGAGCACCTTCCGCATGCTGGCTGAAGTAATTCAGTAGAACAGTTGAACGTGCCAAATGCACTGAAAATCAGTTCACAAACTTCACATTGGAGCAAAATCCTCATGAGTCTAAGAATCAAGTGACACTTTAAATAGCCATGTGCAAGCAATTCTTTAGAAACATCACCATTTTAATGCTTAAGACAGCCTGCTGTGGGTATCAGGCCAGAAGTAACACTGGCTCTTGTGTATACACTGACATTTTCTATGCTAGCCAGTGTGGCAGAGGATATGCCTTAATAAAATCCCACTCTATAGATCACTCTTTAGAACTTGTCAAACAATATACACCAGTTATCAGACCCTTAAAGATATGTTCACACAGAAACACAAGCCTTCTTTTCTTTACCTATGAAATGGATATTAACTTGCCAGGGGTCACAGCCATTTACAAACTAAATTTCAAAATAGGATGCACAGTGAAATAATGAAAACATGACCTAAACATCTAGAAAGAGGTGCTTTCAGATGCACCCCATTCCAAGAAAATGAATATACTTTGCTAATCGGATACCTGCCAGCATTGTTTTGGAAATCCTCGTCACAAAACTGTGATGTGGACATCAAGAGCTCCTTTCTTTAAATTAAACCCTGGCCCAAAAGATCACCTCAAATGCCAATAATGATCTGGGTCATACATAACCCACCACAAGCTAATTGACCCACAGGGCTCGTCACTGAGCACTGGCTGCCACTTCTAAAAGACCAGCCGTGGCTTCTCATCTCAAGTCTGGCCAGGGTGGCTTGTTGGCGTGGTTGATAAACAGCCCACAACTCCAGATCAAATACATCAACAACTCACCCTGAATGGGTTCATACAGCAAGTTATGGTAAACTGCAGCAGCAGCTTGTATTTAAAGAAAGCTGTAGTCCAATTGCAAGCCCACTGGCAAATTCACCCAAGGAGATTTGTGGTTACATGAAAACAGGACTAGCATGTAATTTGGTCACTCTGCAATGCATATCCATTGAAATGCCAGCTCTTACACTCGAAAATCTCCAAAAATACACAAGCCCAGCAGACTGCATAGTTAGGCAATGGAAGCAAACATAAAACTTTTGCGGCCACAGGGCATCTCACACAAGAAGACATGCCTCTGAATTGATGTGAGTGATCACCAATGGATAGTACCTAATGTGCTTTTCAGCTCCTATGTAGCTTCTTCAGGTGACTGAACGCCTCGGGCTACTACGCGTGGCAGATTTTAGGGTTCAGCCATAGGCATCTCTTCCTGGCAGAAAGTCATATTGAATAGTGGGACTGACCTCTGGGTACACATGCATAACCCCCCCCCCCCCCCGTTAAGAGTGTGAGAACTGTCATTGTTTTGCCCAGAAATGCCCACAAAGATTATTAGACAGTGGTGGAAAGTTAACAGCGAATGCAAGTCCCCTGATCGGCTTCTTGCAACTATGTAAACTGGTTATTGGGTGGATTAGAAATGTAATCCATCCATCCACCCACAACATGTTGTTTCCAGGGAAGAATGCTGTGGGAGATGGGGATACTTCACCCCGGTTCGGCCTGCCAATTCTCCCCACAGCCCTTTTCTCCTATTAAATGGCTGGAGAAAGGATTTGACAGAGGAAAATTGAGCCCCATCTGTCCATCAATTTTCCAATGTCCCCAAACACAGAATTGTTCACTCCAAAGTACCACTGTAGAGAAATCTTTGATCCCTTTCCCAAAATGTCCATTGCAAGTATAGTAAGGAATATTAGAGATTTCCCAGAATTGCATCCAAAATGCTAAAGATTATTATCTACATGGCATAGCAAACTTAATATTGCTGATGAAAGATGCTCATTAAAATGTGTTGTCTGGTAATAATTTGAGGTGAAATTGATGCTTATGGTGTTCCTTTTCAGTTTTATTGAAGGACGACACCTTTCAAGATGCATCCCTCCCCGATTTGCACAAAATGTGCAGTTGCAACTTTCGGCAGCTCTTGATTGAAATGCTGGTCCACTGCAGCCAGATGAGTTCCCCCACATGCCCTACAAAAGCTAGAAGATCCCGTGCAATTGTGGATTGTGGCTGCGGGACTGGCCCGTTGCATTTGTGATTGTGCACTGGCACTCGCCTGGACAGCATCAAGGGACTCCACAGATGTAATCGTGTCATTGTGTGAAGCTTGCCAACAGGCACACCTCACTCCTCCTGTCCGTGCACTGCTGTGCACTGGTGCACAATACGGAATTCACTGTCTTACATAGGAGGGTTGTCGGTTCAGTAATTCTGAACTATGTATCTGGTGTGTGCAAAAATGTCTTTTTTGCTGTGTGTTTTTAACTTTGTTTAACTTTGTTAACCTCCCAGACAGCTTTGGCTCTCGAGTGATTTAAAAATGAAATAAATAAATACATAAACCCATCGCTACCACAGTCTTCTCTCTCTTCTGATGCTTTCAAATGTTGGCAGGTAGGAAAGAATGTTAATGCCTAGACCATGTGCCTGCTCTTCTCTGATTCACTACAATTATCTACCATACTGTTTCATTTTGTGCAACAAACAGATGTTGTCTGTGCAACTCATTTGCTGAATAAGGTCCACTTGATGATGTTTAAGTTTCCAATCTAGATTTACCAAAGCCATTTGACCTTTAGCAGAAACAAGAAGTAAAATGAGAATGCAGAACAGTGATTTATTCAGGAAAGAATTATTTATATACCTCAAATATGTTTTTCATTAAAAACGATATTTATTTATACCATACATACTTCAAAAACAGTGTTTTTTTTGTTCCTTAGATACCATTTAACCGTTTGTTTAGGTCTGTTTTGCCTTGTCAATATTTCTTTTTCTTAATTCCTAATGACTTGGGGTGTTTGAAAAGACAGTGCAGTACAGATAACACTACAAAGGTTCATATGTTTGGGAAGAACACATCTTTACTTTTCTATGTTCCCTTTCACAAGCATACGGTACATACGCAGCATAAAACCAAACAAAGCATCTCTCCATCCAATTTTATATAAAAAAGTAATTAAGACTTTGGAAAAAGGACAACACACAAATGAAAAAATCAAGTCAGCAAAAGTTGTGGACATTTTGATGTAAACATATTTTTGATATAAACGTATTTGGGACATACTGGTTGGTAACATTTTTAAAAGAGGCTGTATGGATTTTGTTGTGAGTTCACTATTTGATAACAAAGCAACGTGGCCTAAAGTAAGGCATTTTTTCTTTATTACACACATGGAGATACTGCAACTAGGGTTTTGTTTCTTAAAAAATACTGTAGCATACAGAGTCCCCAATTAAGCTAAAGCTAGACATGACTAAGTGCCATTGAAAGAGACCTAAGTTAGTTGTGACCAACTTGTTCCCATTGCTTCCAATGGGATTAGTCACAAATAACTATACCTGGATTGGGGCCACCAAAAAAGAAGGAGTCCATTTAACCAGAATAGTTTCCTCTAGTAAAACGAACGTACTAGATTGCTGATGGTGATATGCAATTAAGAGTGGTTGAAATTGAAGAGAGTTAACTCGGAATCTGAAAACGACCAAATATTTCTGGTTTTGTAGTTACAAAGAAATGTTCTAGGAAAGAAAAACATTCTCTTTGAATGAACAATACAAGGTATGCAGAATCACATACATATACATATCCATATATATATATATATATGATCTGTTATATGACACACACCATAATGTTCTTGGCTGTAGGCTGAGCTTAAGTAAATATGATCATTCAGTCAGTATGCTGTGGTAAAGTAGGCTGCCAGCGTGGTTTGCCATGCTCAGACATGTGTAAACACCAGAAACAACAACAACAACAAAAAAGATGCGGAGAGCAGCTTCTCCCTGTCTTCCTCAATCATAGGCTTCCTCTCTGATGTACCCTTTCCTAACTCTACTGTAATTCTTCCTGACAAATCGTGTTGGGAAAGTACAAAAGATTAAAACATTAAGATGTGTTTTGGGTCCCTCCACCACAGCCACGACTTCAGATTTCTCCAAGGGGGAACAGCACATATTTTCCAAGCTTTAAGTGCTTATGCCATTAATGGCTCCTGATAACATCTATTGAAAGATGCCCTAATCACACTATTGCACTTTCCAGTGCACATCAGACAACTTTGCAGAGGTCAGATTGTTTTCCTTTGTGATGCAACACAAGCCCAAGTCTTCAGTAGAGCACATACGGACTCATTTGTCTCAGGAATTCATGTTCAGCCCTCAAGTCACCGAGGCGCTAACTAAACCTTACAGGCAATGTGCAGCTTTGGCAAACCCCTGTTGCGCCCTCCCTCCCCTTTGCCACGTGTCTCCCCAGTAATGTGTGGGGAGAAAGCAGGTGATAGGACAGCACCAGGCTCGGCACTTCCACACATCCGGGAGGGGACATTTGAAGTGGGAAAGAAGTTTCCACCACATGTTGCTTTTTTCATGGGGAAGGGGGTGGGATGGCATGGGCTGGTGACCCCGTCAGTGGGACTTGCTCCCAGGGAAGTGTGTGTGGATGGTAGTCTGAGATACCTATTTCCTGAAAGGCCACCTACCTCTGTTGAAGAAATGTCTTCATTGTCTCTCACTTTCCTTTAAAAAAACAATCCAACTGATGGAGTTGCTTTGTGGAGGTGAATAATAGACCCGGCAAAGAACATTTCTTCGTATTCCTCCCTTTCTTCCAAATTCCTAGGATTGATTTTGTTTCCTGACTGCCAAAATTTTGGCCTGTGGTTATGGCAGCTGATTATATTTTGGTTACTGAAAACTTGTGCAAAGTTAGCAGTTTTGTGTTAATACTTAACACTTTTTGTTCGGCATTCTCACCCCATACTGACCAGACCACTTGTAACAAAGTGTATTTTTCTTAATAAGACACTGAAAGTATGGCAATACTTTTAAGGGAAAAAAGGGTATGGATATTATTACACATCCCCACATTGTGTAAGAAAAAAGTGCATGACTGGATTTATGTAATAGTAACAAGACCAAAAAACAAACAAAACAAAAAACCTGTATCTGATCAGGTGCTCTAAAGCATGCCAGCACCTCCGCATTACGCATCTCTAGCAGGTAGTTAAAAAACAAGACCTTGTGTTTTCTTTTTTCTTTTTTTAAAAAAAATGTGCATCGAAGCTAAGATAAATGAATAGAGCTAGCCAGCAAACTATACCCCCCTCCCCGCATATCTAACAGCTGGATGTAGATGTAAATGTAGGGAAAAAAAACCCAAAACGAAACAAAATGAAACAAAAAAAGGGTTAAACCACCATCAATACAATTGCTTTACATCATGGGCCCTTCGAGGCTCAATATATACAAGTGTAACAGCCATGCGTAGTTGACGGTCTTCTCAAAGTTTTCAAATTCACCATAGACAACTGAAGTTGTTCTTTTCTCTCTCTCTCTCTCGTTTCTCTCTGCAGTGCTTTGTTTCTTCGGGTTTTTCCCATTTTTCCCTTCCTTTTCTAAGGTTACAGGCAACAGTCATAGGTAGGAGAAACAGTCTCTTTGGAGATGACCACATATTTTTATAACAAAAGTGGGGCTTTAAAATGCAAGTCTGTTCATGTTTTTTTTTTTCTCTTTTTTTAAAGCAGTGGAAATTTCATCCCAGGTTAAAGATAACTACCCCAACCCACACAAAATAAAAACCCTAACAAACAAACGAACAAACAAAAATTAGAAAAAGGGGAAAAAAAGCACCTGGAGTTTTTCTGTTTTGTTAAAAAAAAGAAAAAAAGATATATATTTATATTTATATTTTATATATTTATATAATAGTCTGTAAATGGCAGTTCATAGAAGAAAGACCTTCTGTGAGAGCTGGCGTTTACCATGTCCACCTCTGAACTAATCTAGCGAAGTGAAGGGAATGTTTTTATGCAGATTGGGGTTCTGACTGTGTCGATTCCGACTGCGGACAGAGGAAAACATCATGTTGCATCCTGGGATTTTGCACTTGTGCATTTCTCGCAAGTGCACAGTCTTGTAATGCACCCTGAGTGTCCCCTTGTTGCTGTACATTTTGTGGCAAATGTTACACATGATCCCCCCGTTGCTCATGGAAACACTGTTAAACATGAGGGACCCTGGGACTTCAGCGCCCATGCCGACCGCTAAGGTTGGGGCATCAGCCTTGTGTGACGATTCCCCACTGTCACTTGCCCCATCCACATCATCAAGGAGAATGCCCTCATCGCTTCCTGCGTCAGATTCTCTCGAGGAATGGATGCTACTACTGGACTGGATGCTGGAAGTGGTGCTGAGGTCTAGCACCATGTACTCTTCGGACATGCCCCTTCCGTACCCATTCAGATGGGAATCCTCAGTACCTGCTGGGGAGGATGTGTCTTCCCTTATGTCATACCCTATCTGATGTGGGGCACCATAGATCTTCATCAAAAATTCATCACGAAGGTCCTTGCTAAGAGAGGGCTGAGAGGTATCCAGTCCCATGTCATCCAGTTCTTTAGTCAACAGTTTACGGTGCAGGTTTATGTTAGCACTGTGTCTGGGAAAGAAAAAGGAAGGGGGTGGGGGAAAGAGAAACATACGGTATTGCTGATTATAGCAGAAAAGCTTCCAGATTAGATCAACATGTACTTTCCATAGGCTAGGACTACTACTTCCCCTTTTCTTGGAAATCCAGTCATGCTATGCAGACCACTGAAGTCCCCCTAAGTGCTAAGCAAAATGCTGCAAAGCCAAGCAAAATGCTGATATACTATACTTGTTTTTAAAAAAAATGCTATCATTTGCCTTATAGGTACCTGCAGCCCTTGTGGTACACCTGGCTAATTGACACTCCGTTTGGTTTTTAATCCTGGCTTAATGCTGCTCTTTCCAAAAACATGCTATTTCATGAGAACTAAGCAGGAGAGACAAAACAGTGGAACATGGTTCATAATGTACAAGATTGGACCCGCTGTTCACACTGTTCTAGTCCTGGATTATAATAGAGACCAACAAAGGATAATCAGAACAGAGACATGGAGACTGGTTTATCCTATTATCAGTAGTAGGAAAACCAATGGACATAGAATTTCTTTGGACAAGTCCAATTTAAAATAGGATGGAGCAGTGAAATATCTGAACAGAAACAGATACAGCCACATAAGGAATGGTGGCTTCAGTCTTGTTTGGGGGTGCTGCAGTTTGACGCCTCCCTAGTAATGGAGGAACCCAATCCATGCTGAGTCACGTGGAATAGTTAGCTTCAGGTTGTTTTAAAGAATGTTTGAAAACAGCCATGAATGACTATCTTTCTGTGCTACTTAAGACTGAACCAGGTCTCAGCGGCACAAACATAGTCATATCATATTTGTTTATATGATTAACTGGTCTTTTTGTATTTATTTAAATAAATATCTTTCCTTTGCCTCTCAACATTTCTGAAGTTTTCAGGTGGGAAACGGGGGATTAAAAAGAACCTATGAAAATGAACAAAAGTATCTTATTACAACAGAGTAAATTTAAAAAAAAACCTTTAAAAGGAGTATGCTTTTGTTATTGCAACATACTTTTTACTTCAAACCCTGAAGATCATCTGTCTCTCTGCAAATCATGGTCTCAGTGTAGCTGCCATGACTATGTTTCTTCCTACGCCCAGGGATAGCCCTGCAGAAAGCAAATGGAAGGCGTGCAAGTAACTTAAGGCACAACCCTACACTGGTTTAGGCAGAAAAAAGGCCTATAGATTCTAGCGCGCCCCAGCAAGTTTACCTGAATTATAACCAAGCTTAGCTGGCTGGGACATGCTGGCAGTCGCAGGGCTTTTCTTCTGTCTAAACCTGCACAGAGCTGCACCCTTCCTTATTTAGTAACTTGCAAACCATGGGCCACAGGTGTAGGGTCACCCAACATGCAGAGCCAAGAGGAACAGCTGCACAGAACATTGCTACATGTGGATCCCAGAACTCAGGGCTGACTGCAGTGTGGTTCCTCGAACTCTGCTCTGCCTTAGAGCCTCAAGGCGTAGGACCACAGCGGACAAGTCAGCTGCACATCAGCATCAAGCAGATGCGTGGTTGCTTCGTGGCAAACATTTTAATGCAGAGGGGAAATCAAGTTGTCCAGATCAGAAAAAAGGAAATCAATACTGCTCCCAATCCAGATGAAGGTGTGCACAGTCATGTATTCTAGCCTAAAGACCATGTCCGGAAATATGCATTCCCAGCCACTTGGCCATGCGGATGGAAATGCATGCTCCGTCCTTCCCTTGCAGCTCAAATGGGGGCCCCACGGGATGCCTGATGTCCCAGTGGGCACTGCAAAGCCGATGCACATCTGGAGCCAATCTGGCTGTGTGGTTCCTGATCTACAGAGCTGACGATTTCTGCACATGGATGTTCCTTGCTGGGTTGGGGTGACTACGGATGGGAAACCAAGGACGATAAAATTAGATTCCTCTGTGTTATTTGAGCATTGGCTGTTCAAATAACATCTTCACCAATAGTGTATCTCTCAACCAGCTGGGCTCCCAAACATAGCAGAATAACCCAACTGTGCATGATAGCAGGAAAGAAAGTATAATAACGCAGAGTTAATTTTCCATATCTGTTTACATGATTCATCGTACCTTGTCATAACTCATTTACCTTATTAAACAAAGCAAACTAGGATAGCAGCCTACTCTCCTTTGATGGAAGGCAGGTGGCTGTTAAAGGATGGCTTGATAATTGAGAGAGAGAGAGAGCAAATTTGAGTCCCAAAGAGCAGTCTCTCCCAATGGAGAAGAGCTACTGAGAGATACATCTGCAGAGTGGGAATGGGTGAAGGGGACGTACATATTGTCAGACATTCCCCCGGGACAACTCTCCTTTACCATGGACAGTAACTACTATTCTGACCAGAAAAGTATGTAATACATAGCCCCCACGCTGCACTTACGAAGGCTGAGCTTACCTTGTGATAAGATCAGCTTTCTAATCTTTTGCTAAATCGAGATCACAAAAGAAAGAGGGAGACAGAGAGAGATACAGAAAGAAAAAGAGGGAGCGATAGAGACAGAGAGAAAGAGAAAGAGAACAAATTCACATTCCAATCCAGTCACATCTGGCTTCAAAAAAGAAAAGAGAATCTTAAAACAATAAAATACAGGCTAAAAATACTTTGGCCATGAGATCATTTTCTGTCACCCATCATCTCACTTACACTGTTGTCCTGATGGTTACCGGACCAACCGCACAATCTAAAACCATAAATCAAGTCAGACAAAAGGCAAATTCACATCACCCACAGATCTGTCCTGAACAGATGCGTGCAGTGTTCACATACGCGAACAACAAATAAGCAGGACTTACGCCCTCTTGGGCAGAAGGATTCCTTGCTCATTCAGGTGTCAGATGGCTGTTATCCACAGGAAAAGTTTTCAAGCAAGATGCAGGAAGTGCTTAACTGTGAACGTCTGTACGCTAACAAGATGCAGTCCCACTGCCAGCTATCTGAGCATCCTGGTGCAAATTGCCTCTGGGAAAAGTGCCTGCTCCCCTGACCGCATATTGCAAACAGGCAGAAGCCTGGCGGCAGCTTGCAAGGGCAGCAGCGCAGGAGCCGATATGTGCTGGTCCTTCTGCAGGCAGTGGCCTGGCCACGCTTGCCATGGCAAAGAGCTGACGGGGCACACAGGCGGCCACAGCATCACAAACAGGCCATCTCTTGCACTGCTTGAATCCTGCCCTCCCTCACAAGAGAACGTGTTCACCTCTGCACGTCAGCACTTTGCCAGAACACGACCCAGAGCCAGCGTGTGTTGCGTTACATTGCTTGGTGCAACCTAAGAGATACCCCAGGATCTTCGGGCCAGAGCTGTCTCAGGCACCCCACAACTCCTCCCTGCTGCATCAAGCCGGAATCTTCGCCTGCTATGCAGCAGGGCTGGCAACTGGAGTGGGGATGAATGAGAGAGCCATGGCTGCCTATGCTCCTGCCTACCGGAGAAGGCAAATGGCGCACACAGGTACTGGGCCCGTTTGGCCATCCACAAGAGCTGCTTTCTTGAGCTGGGTACCCAGGGGAGCCTCTTCTCCAGAGCACCTGTGGACATCTGGACCACTGTGGCATGCTGCGCCGTGTGAATCATGGTGGCAGCGGTTGTTAGAGAGGGTCAGAAAGTCCTCATATGACCCCCAAATGAAGCACAGGCTATCAGAGGGATGTGCAGACCTGAGTCTGTTCCTGCCACCTCGGTTTGCACGGCATGCCAAGCAACTCGCCAAAGGCAGAATTTAGAAAAGGCATCTGTGGGCACCCAGCAGGATGCAGCCGCCCCCGTCGAGACGCCAAGCCAAGCCGCGGTGGGCTGCTGCGCCCTGCGAGCCACTCCCTGGGTTACAGCCTGTGCATGACATCCCCGTGCAGCAGCGTGTCCTGAGAGAGCGTGAGCAGCCAAGGGCACTCAGGAGCTCAGGAGCTGAGTGGCCACTGGAACCCATCACCCGCATCCAGACCTGCCGCGCCAGTGCTTGCATCGCACTCTTTCTCTTGAGCAGTGCCCTCCATGCGGCACCCCCACATCACGGCAGCTCCAACTTTCCCCGGTTTTTCCATGCTCCATTCTAACACAGCACCAGTTAACTCTTGCATCGATGCATCTAGGGAGCGACAGGTCTGCTGTTTCTCACACATTTTATTTGCTGCTGAAAACAATCAACAGCTGGATTTGTTTTAAAAATAAACAACACCATGATTTATGGAATGCAAGACACAAGAACAGAGCAATGTGGCATCAATGGCACACTCTCCCCACTGTCCTGGCCTAGCAATGGAAAGCTGCCTTCCTGGTGATGACCTGCTAAAAGTTGCAGCAGGCTTCAGCTCTCCGCACAAGTGATGCCATCCCTGATCACTGATCATTTATAGCAGCAGCTATCAGTAATCTAATTAAACTATGCACCAGCCCTCAATATCTGTCAGGCAAACGATGTGCAGAAATGTGCGGAAAAGTCCTGGCACTCTTGTCGGCAAGGTCCCTTTTCCGCTGTCAGCAGTACCATTGGCTTCTCCTAATATCATTACATTGACTTTTATTCAATTAAGTGCCATTCCTAGCTTAAAAAAACCTTGCTTTATCAATTGATTCAGGTGTAATGCAATAATAAAGATGAACTCATTGCAGTGCATTAGCCTGCTGTTCATAACTTCGGAACATGAGTTCATTCATAGTAGTCGATTTCCATTATGCAACCACAGTTCAAAAGAATTGATTCTGTTACATTCATTTCTTAATCTATACCACTCCTGTTGAAGAATCCTCCTCAAGATCATATGGAAAGCTAAACAGATGTATTGTGGGAGAAAACAGTATCTGGATGCGGTGGTTTTTGCATTTTAAGGTATGATAACAAAATCATGGAATTCAAAGTTACATTAGGATCAGAAAAACTTTATTTGCATGTAGCTAACTGTTCAGGGAGTACTGTGTGCTGTATGTTGGAGAACAAAATGGGTGCCATTTGACACTGCGTGAGTGAGCTTCCACTCACAAAATAGGATGCCTGGAACAGATCAGGG